TGAGTTCCTAAAATGAGGGGAGAAGTGTTCCTTCTTTTTTCTGCTTTAATTGTTTGATATAATTTATCAGTTAAAATGTTTTTGAGCCTGCTGTTTTCATATAGGTAAGTTTTCAAGCTAGGAATATACTTTCTTTAATAGGTGCTATTCAATTTTTATATTTCCTCCAGAGTTAGTTTCATTAGTTTGTCTTCCAAGGTCCTTCTTAGAAGTTGTCGAATTTATTTCAAAAAAGATTTTTGAAATATGCTTTCTATATCCTTTTAAATTCTGTAAAATCTGTGGTAATGTCTCGTAGATCTTGAGATTGTAATTTAAAAAATGTATAACTGATATTGTGTAACAGGAAGAAAAGGTGTAAAGGAGCAGGGGAATTGGGAGGGGTAGGGGAAGGGAAAAAAAGAAAAAAAATATGAGAAGTGGAAAAAAATGGAAACAAAGTCTTTGCAAATAGGGAAGGGGGGGGGGTGAAGGGAGGCCAAGGGAAGGGGGAAAAAATAAGAACCAAGATACTCATGTAATGGTACAAGATCCCAATGATGAATTTAACTGTATTGTATACCTAAAATGTACCAATAAACTTAATGGGGGTGGGGGGGAACATGGGGAAAAGGAACAAATTAAAGCCAGAGGAAATTAAAGTCTTCTCGGAACAAATGATGTTTAAACCCCAGAGGAATACTTAGAAATTCACCAAATAGAGAAAGAATATGTTGCATTAATTTTTGCATTTTATAGTTTTCTACATTGTATTTCTGGACCCTAGCCTCAGCAAACACTGGAATACAGAGGCTCTCAAACTGTTCACTCTACCTGTTGGCTTTCAGTATTTTCATACTCCCAAGCCAAAAGAAATATGTCACAGTTAAGTTCATTAAGTAGGTAGGTTCAAAAACCTTACTAAATACTTAATATCCTAACAAGTAATCAGAATACTTATGGAATGCAAATGCTTGTTGGGCACTATATAACTTCTCTAACCTTGGAATCCGATTAGACATTGCTATCTTTCCTGTTGCACATAGATTTTCACATAGTATTTGTTTTTATCCCACCAACCAAACAAGCTTCAAAAAGATACCATGGCATCAAAAGTGACACTGTGCATCTGGTGTTGAAACTATGTCAGGTTCATACTGTGTCCAGCAGATGCCACATCTCACTATTTTTCTCATTTTAAAATACCATGGGATTCTCATGAGTTCTTTTCAGAGTGCTAGGATGTTTCGGTACACAATTTGGGAACTGCAGCTTTGATGAGTTAATACGCTTTGCCAAGCTAAAGAAGAAAGTAGCTTAATGTAGGACTGTAAGCAAAAGAAAATATGGTTGTAAACATAAGCAGTGATTATTTGATTTCTTTAAGAATTATAGGGTAGGGCTGGGAATTTAGCTCGGTGGTTTCACTGCCTACTGCCCAAGCACAAGGACCCGAGTTCAATCCCCGGTACCAAAAAAAAAAAAAGAATTATAGGGTTGTTGAAAGTTTGTTATAGGTATGATTGTTTCTACTTTTAAATTTGGTATTATCTTACTATTGTATTTTAAATGAGTTGTTTGTATTATATTCATTTTTTTTAACAGATGGATGAGTTGCATACATCTATGACCCAGTGGATGGCAAATTTGCTGATTATAATGATTCCTGACTTTACTGACCATTACACTCTCCCAAAGTTGGAAGAGGAAAGTGCTGACGACCATGATATGGGAATTGCACAGTTTGAACTAGATGCAGTTGTACTGGCGAAAAAGTTCATCCAAGATACCACCTATTTGAGCAGGTGAATCTATCTGGTTATTTTGCTGGATGTTTGAAGATTAAATGTGACATAAGGCAAAGAGTAAGACAGTGAAGTAGCAGCAATGAAGGGGTTATTTTAAAACCTTGAAAGAAATAGTAGTTCAGTTTTTCAGCTAGCTTCAACATTATGGTCAGTGGGAAAATGAAATTTTAGTGTTGTCCCAATAGCTTTAGAATTCTTTTGGAAACTGTAGCGTAGGCAGGATGGGAAATTTGTGTATGTGAGAAAACAATTAGTTTTTTTTTAAATACCAACTTATGAAGATAAGATACGTCTTGCACCTTTGCACCTACTTGGAGGTATTTAAGAAACTTGTAATTTCCTGTATAATTCCATGCAAAGCTGAATGTATACTTGTGTGTGCTCCACTAAACGCCAACCAAAATATATTTTTAAGAAAAAGAAAAAAAATAAAACTGAAAAGTTAGAAGATTCATACCAAATATTAATGAGGCCTGAAAAATGTTACATATTAATTAAGATACAAATTATCACTATAGTTACTTTAAATTTGGGCAGTAGCTTTTTACAATCTAGCAAAATTTTTCTTTCATTTGTTTAAAATTCAATTTTACCAATGATTACAGGTAAGAGGAATGGAAGAGAAAGGAGATACAAAAAGCTGAGACCAGGTGGAGCCTTCCTCCTGATGGGAAAAAAGTCTGCCTGGGAACTGCAGCACGCTTATTATAGTGGTAGACTATTTAAGGGAAGTGCAGAGTGGAGGGTGCGTAAAGGGGGCTGGTCTGTAACTGGAACCGGAAGAGTAGCTAAAGTCTGCAGAACTTCGTGCTTTGATGGTTTTATGGGGAATGGATGGGGAGGAAGGCACGTCTACAGTATGGTGCGCCCAGCAATTCCCCATTTTGTTTTGTGGCTGCAGCTTGTGATGATGTTGTTTTAAGGCAAGTTTGGTGAGTTGTTCTAGGAAGACTCTGGAGAGGACTAGTAAACAAATCAGTAGTAGCAATAGGAAAATCAGAATTCCCAGGATCATAGCAACACTGTTTGGCCAGGTTGAAAGGACTGAATCCATTTAACGAATCAAGAACTGATTTTGTCATGTCCTCAGGGGTGAGGAAACTAATGTGAGCATGCTGAATGGACAAGATCTGTTGATGAAGTTTTTGGAGATCTAAGCTGAGATTGCTGTGATGAAAGATACCCATTAAATGTGTGGTACCTTTTTTCCAGTCCCATTGTGACTCATTGTAAGGAAGAGCAGTGACACAAATGTGAGGGTATTCAGCATGGCACTGCAATCCTTGACAGTATTGCAGGGCTTTAACTTGATTACCAGTCTACGGCCAGGGATTTAGCTCAGTGGTTTTGCCACCTGCTGTGCAAGCGCAAGGACCCGAGTTTGATCCTCAGTACCAAGAATACAAACAAACCAATCTCTAGCACTGTAGCTTCTAAAGCATTAACCTGTATTTCCAATTTAACATCAACATCTTTCTGGGTCTCAAGCATAAGAGGTATATTTTGCTAAATGATTGACAAAATGCACATTCTGTACATTTTGTGCTAAGGCCATGGACACAACCACAGTGGTGGCAAGCAGAGTAACTGGAGACATAATTCCCAGGATAATAAATCCTACCATCCAGTGAGGGTGAATGAGCTGTCCATGTATTTCTTCTAGTAATTGCAGTCCAGGATTATGATACCAAGGGCCAGAAACATTAGTGGGTATCATGACAATGGATGGCCTATATAATATTAGCACATCTTTATCCTTATTATTAGTAAGGCAGGCAGTGAGATTACAGTTTTGGCAACTGACATTAAAAGAATCTCCTGAAGTAATATTGACCTGGCCAAGTAGGAGCACATAAGGGATTTGTACACAAGGGCGTGCCCAGATCTTGTTGACCTCTGTGTGACTCCTGTCCTTTAAGCTATGACTAGAAAGAGTGATCCCTTTTAAACTGTCAGTCAATCACCAAAGATCTCTTTGGAAGTATTTTGATGAACTATGTACTACTGATGCTGGAAGGTGGCTGGTAACATTGTACTTTGTATGAGACCAATCCTGGAAAGTTATATTTTGTATAACCGTTTCATTTACTTCATGAGTGCAACAGTTTTCCCAAGAAGCATACTTTGAGAGGCTGTCTTTTCAGTTACCCAAAGAGAGAGACAGAGGGAAGATAGGCCAAGACAGAGAAGGAGACCCACTGCTCTCCTGGTGTAATTATAGCTGGTAGATGTAGGAGAGATATGAGCATCAGAATGCCCACCCCCAAGATGTGGGACTGATTGGCAAAAATAGGTACCAAAGTAGGAGTTTCCCAAGGAAGCGGATGAGCCAAAGGCGGGTCTGACTTTGACTTCTGATGGAACATGACCATACTGTGGCCCCTATGTTATTAGTTGCACTGATCCATTTTATCTTTTAGTTAGGGCATCCTTTGACAACATTTGTGTCTAGGGCATGTCTGTAGATTTATCTTAGTATCAGTGGAGTTTTGATGAAGGATATTTACTTTTCATAAGTGGATTTAAAATTTTTTTAAATAAAGGCAACAAAAGAAGGTGACAAAATCCAATTGAGCTTGTAGAGGTAGTGTATTTTCCCCTTTCTTGTTTATGTAAGTGTGTTTTTAGGGAAAAGTGAGTACAGCCAACAATCGCTTGTCTGTATGGGTTATAAGGACCTATAATGTGTTTACCTGGCTTAGTTGTCTATAATAAGCTCTTTTTTGAGAGGGCTATCCCCAGCTGCAGTTAGGGGAGAAGGGGCGCAGGTTTCATCTAACTGCTTCAAGCTGAGAAGGGTCAATGTAGGGAAGACCGCAGTTAGGGGCTCCTTCTAGGGAGCTAATTTAACAGGTCTGAAATAAAAATCATGTGATAATTTTGTAGTTATAAACTCTCTTTATAAGGTCAATCTAGTGGATTTTGGTTAACAAAATGTCTAGCACATTTATTGTTATCTGTATGATCACTTTGAGTTGGCAACCTATAGGCAAGAATAAACAGAAAATTTAAAGAAATTAGAGCCTGTAATAGTCAAGGTATAAGCCCTAAAATAAACAGGTGGTTTTGGGAAAGAGCCATGTTTAGAAACTGTTTTTAGGGGACTAAAATAGTGAATGTAACTTATCGACCTGTAGACCCTCCACTAATGGAGATAATCTGTAAGTCTGATATTTTGTCATAATTTTAATTGCAGCTGTAAAAGGACTAAAATTTTGATAATTTCAAAAAACAATTTGAGCTAAAAAAATTTTTAAAACTTTTGTTGAGTTCATATAAATTTTACCATGGTTTTATCTAATGACCCATAACAGTGGCTAGCTACCAGTGTATCTGGAAACTGTCAGAAGGGGTCAGCAATTGGAGCCTCTTTTTAAGTCTAGCTTTATTATTATGGTCTTGAGTTTACATATCTTTATTATACTTTTCTACTGGGTGTTTAAGTCCAAGTTTCAGTGAGACCTATATTAAGTAAAATTAACCTCTTGTTATCTATCAAGGTCAATTAGGTCTCCTCAGGCAATATCTTGAAACTATGTATAGAGCCTCTCAGTTCCTGTCAGTGTTAGCCATCAAGATGTGTCATGGCCTTGCTTGACCATGTTACTTTCTGTGAAAGCATGAGAGATTTTTCCCATTGGGAATTGTAATTTTCCCATTGGTGTTTGGCACATTGCAGTTGTTGCTTTGGTGTCCAACAATCTCCCTGTTCAGGTGGTTGAGTAACTTACCAAAAATATAGGATTTTGTAGAAAAAGGCCTTTCATGTCCTGGATCTTTGTTGACCTTGGAGGGCTAGGGCCAAAATATTGGTTGTCATCTTAGTCCAGTTACCTTTCTAGTGCTGGACTTTAGTGGTTGAACACCCAGAAGAGAAGATCAATAACATTAACATTGCAATAGAAGTAATGAACTTAAGTATTATATTTCATCTGGATAGCAAACATTTTGGAATCTAAAATATACTTAGAAGACTGTTATTTTTATCAATCATGGTTGTTCTAGTAGTTGAATTCTTGTAAAATATTAACAGAAAAAAACTTTAAATCAGGAGCCACACATAATACTTTAGCATGACAAACATGACATTATCTTTGTAACACATTTATATGTGTGTCTTAGTATAAAATAGCCATTGTTAAATGCACTCATTCCCTTCCAAAAATACATAAAAAAGGAAACTCTTATTTAAGTTATTATCTTTTGATAGGATGCCATCTAAGGAAAATGTATGGGCCTATAAATGTACCTGTTATAAGTAGCTGGAGCATAAGAGAAGGGAAAATACCTGGATCAAAAGGAGGTTATTACCATAAACAATATGTTGAAAGACCTGTACAGTCAGAAGACATTTTGTATAACAAAAAAGCAGCAATAATAATTACTACAATCATATGAAACCTTATGTCCTGTAATGTAGCTTGGTACCAAAAGCATCTTATTGTTAATAGTGTGTTCTTTCCAGTGAAAATTTTATGTTTTGAAGATGACCAATATAAACATATCACAATAACATATTTAGAACTTAACCAATGCAAACATTTTATAACATATTTAAGCAATTTGGGGGGGGTGTGTCTTCCCATAAGACTATGAAAATTACTGAGGCTCCCATTAGTGAACAAAGAGCAGCATAACCTTTTTCTGGGTAGCTGCTTCTTTATTCACCAAGGAGAGCCTCATTCAGCCATCTCCCCACACCTACAAGTCTCCATTTAATTACCTTGACAATTTAAAAAAATAACCTGTAAAAAACAGATTGTAACAATTAACACATTATTAGTAACCAATAAAAAATATTTTTTATTATTGAATGTAGATGGTAATATGCATTACAATCAAAATTAATCTTTGATGTTATTTTGATCAGCTAGCAACCTAGGAGAGGGGAAGGCATTCCTTAACTTTAGTAACATTTATTTATAAGCCAATTTAAATTATAGGCAAATATCTTTTAAGAAAAAATTTTAAAGGCAAAAAAGGGAAAATTGTTGAGCTCAAACAAAATGCATATGTACAATTGGACAAACATATAAGACAATTTATAAAACTAGAATGCACTCAAATACATTTGGCCAATTTGAATTATAATATCCCTTTTATAATTTTTTGGTTTATAATTGTAACTAAGACTAGTCAAAACGTTTGTAGGTCAATTAACATAGATCTCTTGTAATTAGAAGGCATAAAAATGTCTTATACCTGTAAGTGTAATCTTTTATAACAAGCTAGTGATTGAACAATAGCATAATATCATTTTATAGTTATTTATGAGAAGTCTGTAAGCAGAAATTAGAGGGCAAGTTAATCCTATAATTACAATTTAAGAATTTGCAATGTAGAAATGTTTTAAATACACCAATTAAACATCTGAAAACCAAACACCAGTTAAACATTAAGTTGGAGATGAAAGGTACATTTGTCAAATAGCAAAATTTATAATTGATTTTTTTTTTGTTTTTTTGTTTTATAATTTTCCCCTGCCTGGCAGGACATTGCAGCTGATTTTAATATGCATACTGTAGCAGGCACTTGGCAGTAGCCTAGTATTTGGTCTTTGAGCTCCGATTGTAAGCATTACATTTTGTTTTAATTGTTTTAAACCCTTATATTTTGATTTTCAATATTTGTGTAGAAAACAATAGGGCCTGATGGAATTTCTTGTTAGTATAGCCTGCCAAACAAGTTGTTGACTTGTAAATATGCAGGGCCAGGGAGAATCTTACATTCCTTTATGGAATCTTGTTTTCCCCTCTCTTCAGGGGGAGCTGAGGCAGTAAGAGCAGGCAGAGCAGTAGGTATAGGCCCTTTAAAAGCCTCCCTGCCTGTCTGGCCCCTCACAATGCAAGTTGTAGCAGCAAGAGGGAACAGGAAGCCTTTGCAAGGAATGAGGAAGCTGCACCACATGGCATGTTGGAACTTCTTTGTTTTCTGGCAAAGCAGAACTGCAAGCCTGCAGTGCAGAACAAGTTGTGGGTTTAATTTTTGGCCACACAATGAAAGCGCTGTGATACACTCCTCAAGAGTTCTGCCACCATCCTCCCCTCTGCACCTCCCCACCAGTCATCATAGCAAAAGGCAGCAAGCTTCCCAGGTGGAGCAGGAGGCTCAGTAGGAGCTGGCGGCTCCAGACGAGGCCAGGATTTCTTTGAAGCCTTACAGTCGTGGATTGTCTCTTGCAATCTAAGAACACTATTTTTTGCCAGATCTTCAGGAGTGGACTCCACAGAGGCTCAATCTTCAAAGCACTCAGATTATAGTCCATACGGAAAAGGTATAGATAGGGATTTTTTCTGGTCCCTCAGTTTTGGGATCCAGAAACCAAAGACACATCTCTTTTTTTTCCCCCAGAACCAGGGATTGAACTCAGGATCTTGTGCTTGCCAGGCAGGTGCAGCACCACTGAGCTACATCCCCAGCTGCAAGAACACATTTCTTGAAAGAAATTCAAAACCTTTGCTAATTGGGTTGTCTTTATATCAGACCCTTTACCTTTCAAATGTGCCATGAGCATTTCTGTATATAAATGTCACTCGCTCACGCGATCCTGATTGACCCATGTTTTACACCTGGTGAATTTCCAATCCGCCTTGTTCCTAACTTACGTGTGCACATCCAGAAGTGTCCCCTCACGTAAATATGCAACTTGTCTTGTATTCCAGTCCTGTACTCCAGTCACATCTCTTGTCTTATACACCAGTCTATTTGGGTGCCAACTGCTGTGGCCTGCACAGCTGAAGGGTCCACGGAGGGAGGATGAAGGGGGAGGGGGGATGAGGAAAAGACAAAGAGATAGAAAAAGCTGAGGCCAGGTGGCACTTTCCTCCTGATGAGAGAAAAGGTCTGCCTGAGAACTGTAATGCATTTATTTATAGTGATAGTGATAAGGGAAGTGCAGGGTAGTAAAGGGGCTGGAACTGGGAGAGTAGCTGAAATCTGCAGAACATCATGGTTTGATGGTTTTATGGGGAATGGATGGGAAGGAAGGCACATCTACAGAGTGGTGCTCCCAGCATATCTGAATTGTAAACACTTAGAGAAACCAACAATAAACATGTCATACTAGGTATCTTTGTGAAGTTCCCATTACTGTGGTTAAATATGAGATAGTTTACTTGTAAATATAAAAGGACATTTTTTGGCTCACAATTTTGAAGATTTCTATCCATGATTGATTGGCCTGGTGTTTTGGGGCCTATATGGTAAAGCAGCATATCATTGCAAATGTGTATGTACCAAAAAACAAATGAACAATCAAATGAATGGACAAAAAAGACTGTATGGTACAAGAAAACTACTCACTTGATGAGCCAGGAAGGAAAAGGGGAAGAGGAAGATATCGGAGACCCACATTCCACTTCCAAGGGCACATCACCAGTGACCTAAGGACTTTTCATCAGGTCTTACTTCCTGAAGGTTCCACCACCACCGAGTAGCACTCTCTTGGGAACCAAACGTTTAACACATGGGCCTTGGGGGACACTCATCCAAACCACACCACTGAGTATGTGCTTTTTCCTTTTCTGTCTTCCTTTTTCCTTCCTTCCTTCTTCCCTTCTCCTTCTCCTCCTTCCTCTCCCCCTCCCCTTCTTTCTTTTATTGCAGTTGTTGCAAAGGGATGGTAACCGCAATAGCTCTGAATAAAGAAGCTTATTCAGAAAAAAATCCTGCTAAGGAACTTCACGAACTGGATAAGATGAAGGTAGTAACTTTTACTTTCCAGTAGTTTTGTTTTAGAATATTTTTTGAGATTTAATTGATTTAAAACAAACTGCAGATGAAATGTATAATCTTAGAAGCACTAAAATATGCATATGCTCATAAAAACAGTTACTGCATTAAAAGGGGGAACATATGTGTATATAACACACCTAAAGTTTGTAACTTTTTATTATCTCTCCTCTTAGCCTTATCTTGGTCCATTGTAATATCTGATCCAGTTTCTAAAAGCCAAGATTATTTTAATTTTCTAGAACTTATATAAATGAATTAATATATAGTGTATCTGTTTCAGTCTGACTGTTCTGACTAGGAATTATTTTGAGATTCATCCATATTGTTGCTTTTATCAAAAGTGTGTGCTTTTCAGTGCTGAGTAATATTTTATGGTATGGATATACACTATTCTCTATTAATGGTATTTAAACTGTTTTTAGTTTTTTATTATTATAAACAAGGCCTCACTGCATATTTATGTACAGATTTTAAATGGACATTTATTTTCATATTCCCTTAAGAGATGTGACTTTGAAACATAGAAAGTTCTTAATTTTGATGAAATTCAATTTTTAATGGATTAATTATTACTACATATTAATTATACAAAACACTGTAGTGGGTTTTGTTTCACTATATTTGTACATTCATACAATATGCTTGGACCATTTCAATGCTCCTGTTACCTTCTTGTCCTCCATTATTTCTTTCTTTTCTAACACTCTCCCTTTTACTTTCATGTTATCTGTCATCATTGATGTCCCCTTGTTCCTCCTCCTCCTCTTTTCTTACACATATGAGAGAAAACATGCCATATTTGCCTTTGCGAGTCTCACTTTTTTCTCTTAGCACTATGATCTCCACTTGCATCTACTTTCCTGCAAATCACATTATTTCATTCTTTTTATGGTTAAATAATACACCATTGTGTATTTTCCTTATCCATTCATCTGTTGCCAGGACCTTATGATGTTCCCATATTAGGTATTATGAATTGTGACACGAACCATAGATATGCAGGCACCTCTTTTGTATGCTGACTTCAATTCTGTTCAGGAATATACTTAGGAGTTGTATAGTTGAATTAAATAGTAGCTGTATTTATACTTTTTTGAGAAACCTTCATACTGATTTTCATAGTGCCTGTACTAATTTATATTCCCATTAATAGTATAAAAGTGTCCTTTTCCTGTGCATCTTTGTCAGCATTTATTATTTTTTGTGTTCTTAATAATAAACATTCTGACTGAGGAGAGAGATAAAATGTCAATGTAGGGGTTTTTTTGCTTAAATTCTTTTATTGGTAAATTTTAGTTATGCAGTGTTTACATTTATCATTGGGTACTTGTACCTGTACATGATTTATCTTGGTTCTTATTTTTTCCCCATTCCCTGTCCTCCCTTCCCTATTTGCAAACACTTTATTTCCATTTTTTCATTTTCTCATAATTTTTCCTTTCCCTTCTTACCTTTTCCTTTCCCCTCCAAAATCCCCTACCCCTTTGGGCCTTTTCTACCTATTTGAAATTATCAATTATTCATTTTAATCATTTTAGTCCTTATTTATACTTTCAGTTTCTCACACCAGAGAAACTATTTGGTATTTACACATGTGTGTCCTATTTATTTCACTTAAGAGTATTGCCTCAGTGTGCATCCACTTAGCTATAAATGTCTCTACTTTCTCATTTTTTATGGCTGAGTAGTACTCCATTTTATTAAAAAACCCCACATTTTCTTTATCCAGTCTCCAGTTGATGGGCATTTGGGCTATTTCCAAGTTTTAGCTATCACAAACTGCGCTGCTATGAACATGGGCACACATATATCACTGATCACTGTGGCGTGATTGCACTTCAGTTTTCATTCCAGCATTCTTCTAGCACCAGCTGTCCCATGCAAGTCAATGGAAGGCAAGGATATAAAGTCCAGTTCCTACTCAGAGAAAGCAGCTGGAGCTCTGTCAGTTTCTCAGTGCACTCCACTCTTGGGCTTAAATCCAGGACCAGTCACATCACAATCTGGCTCTCTGCATTGCTGATTTCTGCTGCACATCTCTATGAGGCCTGTACTGTGAATAGTGCTTTGGCCTAGAAAGTGCATTGAGGTTCTCATAAAAGACAAGTCCTGGAAAGTCCTTCACTTTGTCCTAAGAAGAACTTGATGTTAGAAGCCAAACACTCTTCAGAATGGCCTGGCAGTTTGCACTTCAGTTTTCATTCCAGCATTTTTCTAGCACCAGCTCTCCCATGCAAGTCAGTGGAAGGTAAGTCTACAAAGTGCAGTTCCTACTCAGAGAAAGCAGCTGGAGCTCTGTCAGTTTCTCATTGCACTCCACTCTTGGACTTATATCCAGTAACAGTCACATCACAATCTGGCTCTCTGTGTTGCTGATTTCTGCTGTACATCTCTGTGAGGCCTGTACCATGAATAGCACTTTGGCCTAGAAAGTGCAGTGAGGTTCTGCTGAAAGACAGGTCCTGGAAAGTCCTCAACTTGGTCCTAAGAAGAACTTGATGTTAGAAGCCAAACACACTCTTCAAAATGGCCTGGCAGTTTGCACTTCAGTTTTGATTCCAGCATTCTTCTAGCGCCAGCTCTCCCATGCAAGTCAATGGAAGGTAAGGATATAAAGTGCAGTTCCTAATTTTTTGTTACATTTTCAATTTCACTCATTGCAATTGAGGTGTTTAGAATTTCTGTATCTTCTTCATTTAACTTTGCCAATTCATATGTATCTAGGAATCTGTCCATTTCTTCTGTGTTTTCCACTGTATTAGAGTACAGGTTCTCGAAATAGGTATTGATGATCCTCTGAATTTCTGCTGGGTCTGTTGTGACTTCACCTTTTTCGTTCTTAATTGCATGGATTTGAGCCTTTTCTTTCCTTTTTTGATAAGGTTGGCTAAAGGTTTATTGATTTTATTTATTCTTTTGAAAAACTAATTCTTTGATTCATTATGTTTTGTATTGTTCTCTTAGTCTCCATTGGATTGATTTATGCTCTGATCTTTATAATTTCCTCTCTTGTACAAGCTTTGGATTTGTTATGCTCTTCTTTTTCTAGCAGCTTGAGGTTCTGCATTAGGTTATTTATCTGAGTTTTCTCTGTTTTCCTAATATGGGCATTCACTGCTATGAATTTCCCTTGTAAAACTGATTTCATTGTGTCCCATAGATTCCTGTATGCTGTACTGGCATTATCATTTACTTGTAGAAACTGTTTAATTTCTTCTGTGAACCATTGGTTGTTCAGGAGGGTGTTATTCAGTTTCCATGTGTTTGTGGGGGTGTTGTGCTATCTTATGTTATTGATCTCCAATTTTATCGCACTACGGTCTGGTAATGTACAGAGCATAACTTCAGTTCTTTTACATTTGCTTCGACATTTTCTATGAGCTAGCATGTGGTCTCTTTTGGAGAATAACCCGTGTGCAGCTGAAAAGAATGTGTATTCCGATTTTGGGGGGTGGAATACTCTGTAAACATCTATTAAGTCCATTTGTTCAATAACTTGGTTCAGTTCTAGAATTTCCTTGTTAACTTTTTGTCTAGATGATCTATTTGTGATAGTGAGGTATTGAGGTCCCCCACTACAATTGTGTTAGTGTTTATTTGGTTTTTTATGCCCATTAATATCTGTTTTGTTTAGTTGGGGGCATTTGGTTTTGGTGCATATATATTTAGGACTGTCATCTCTTCCTCTTGGATTGTTCCCTTCGCAAGGATATAGTGACCATCTTTGTCTCTCTTGATTAGTTTTGGTTTGAAATCTACTTTATCTGCAAATAAGATTGCTACCCCTGCTTTCTTCTGGTTTCCTGTAGCATGGAGAACTGTTTTCTATCCTTTTACTTTCAGTCTATGAGTTTCTTTTTGAGTGAGGTGTTTCTTGAATACAGCATATTGTTGGATTTTGCTTCTTAATCCATTCTGCCAGTCTATTTCTTTTGATTGGTGAATTGAGGCCATTAACATTGATGGTTATAAGTGATAGATATTGATTAATCCTTATCATGCTTTACTTTTGTTGGCTCTTGTATTTCTTATTTTCCCCCCTTTCCCTTTAGTGTCCTCCCTTGCCTGGTGGCTTCCCTCTGTTGGGCCTCATGGAGTTGAGACTTTCATTGTTTTTTTCTAGGATATTGTTTAGAATTGCTTGTAGTGCTGGTTTGGTGTTCATGAAATTTCTTGGGTGTTCTTTGTTGTGGAAGTATCTAATTACCCCCATCAATTTTGAAAGATAATTTTGCAGGATACAACAATCTAGGTTGGAAGTTATTTTCTTTTAGGGCTTGAAATACTTCACTCCAGGCTCTCCTTGATTTGAGGGTTTGTGTTGAGAAGTCTGCTGTGATTCTGATGGGCTTTCCTTTGTAGGTGATTTGTTTCTTTTCTCTAACTGCCTGTAGGATTTTGTTCTTCTGTTGGCTTTCTGGGATCTTGACTATTATGTGTCTAGATTTAGATTTTTTTTGATCATGACTAGTTGGAGTACTATATGCCTCACTTATCTGTATATCCAATTCTCTACCTGTGTCTGGGAAGTTTTCCCCTATTACTTCTGTGAACAGTTTTTTATGTCAATTGTGCTTTCTCCTGTTTTTTCACGGACTCCTGTCAGTCTTATGTTATTCTTCTTTGCATCGTCTAGCAGCTACTGGATTGATTTCTCATTGTCCCTTACTATTTTTAAGAAATCTCTGTTTTCTAGGTCTTTAACTGTGATTCTGTCTTCTATATCTGATATTCTATCTTCAGATTCCCTTAATCTGCTGTGGATATTTTCAATGGAGTTTTTAATCTCCTGAATATCTGTTTGAAACTGTTTCATGGATTCCATTTCTTTCTTATGTTGGGCGATCATGGTTTACATTTCTTATGCTGCATATTCATGGTTTCCAGCATGTTTCTGATCTCATCTATTTTTTTATCTGTTTCTGTTCTAGAGCCTGTAATCATGTCTTTCACTCTGCTCACCATCTC